GGTTCAAGTGATACCTTCAACGTCACTACCACCACCACCATCACCACACGTCACTACCACCACCATCATGCACGTATATACCATCCACGTCTACCATCGCACCATCACCACATCTCACCCACCCTCCAGTCATTACCATCACCACCATCACCACACGTCTATCACCACTCACACGTCCTACCCACCACCATCACCACATCCTACCACCACCATCACGTCTACCACCATCACACACGTCATACACACCAGCTACCATCACCACACGTCACTACTTCCACCATCATCCTATACTATACCTCCTCCACAATCTTCACCAGACAAGACTTATAGAGTATCAGGAATTAAAAGGAAAATGTGATAAAAAATGATAAAATACAGCAATTATGTTTAAATTTTACCTACGACATAACCCCTCCGTCAGTACCCAGAAGTTGATACTACAACAAAACCCAACTGGCAGGTAGATGAAGGAGCTATAATTATTTAGAGCGGAGGAACCTTTTCTGTTTTAGTTAATCTTGTGCAGGACCCCAGAGGACAGTTTACCCTGGTCCCGCCCTCAAGGGGCCCCAGTGTATACTGACACTAAAAGGTCTTAAACGATACACATCGTATAAACACTTGAGTTTCTGACAACATTAATAATGATACTGTGAACTGAACATCAGATGAAATCAAATATATAATTTCTAGAGTGCGGGTATAATACATGATATACTGTACAGGAGTATGAAGGACCCCTGGCCCCCGAGGAGCTGTTTCTTTTTAGTTTAATCGAAGCTGTTCGTTCTCAGCTGCCTTACTGGGATGATTATAGAAAGAAAGTGAGGTATGGGTGAGACAACAGTAGTACAATACTATGAGAGAGCATTCATGTGGATCATCAAGTACCACTACCACCAGCCAACACCTCCCCCTCATCACAAAACATGTACCTTACCCCTGGGTCACACAGGTGTTAATAGCTCACAGGTAGGTACAGTACCACCAGGTGAGCTCCAGTTACCATGTAAACTCTCAGTCGCTCTGGATGGAATTACCTGAGATAGATTATTTCAGGTCACGGTGTAGCCGACGAGACCTGGACCTTGGCTGGGGGGTGATGGTGGGGGTGATGGTGGGGGTGATGGGGGGGTGATGGTGGGGAGTGATGGTGGGGTGATGAGAGAGTATTCTTAAGGTATATATGGCTATTAATGTTAGGTACCACCACTATTACTATTACAGCTGTTACTACTATTACTACTACTACTACTACTATTGCTTTTTTTTTTTTTTTTTTTTTTTAAAGTATGGCCTCCAGCCTCCCAATAGCCACACCTTCGCCACCATTTAATTACCTTAATATTAAATATCCTAATACATAAGCTATCCTATCTGTGTTAAATTAGTTGAGCCGCAGATCTATGCGGCATTCAGTGACTGTAGCCTCATAGTCAATATCTGCAGCAGTTGTCGGAGTAGGGGCAAAGCTCTGTTCCCTGAGGCAGACAAAGCCGACCGAAGGAGAGAAAGACAGTCGACATCTCATCCAGGCTGTAACATAACTTCTGGGCTGCTGCTTCTGTTCGGAGATCACCTCCGCGAGTCTGGCGTAGAAACATCTTGCACTTGGTCCCATCCCACAGAGGTTGTGAACACTAGAGGGTGAAGCTGCCTTGATCAACATTTTGAATTCTCTCCCATATGCCCTTCTCTTGTCGTTCTCGTTCCTCCTGTGCAGCATCGAGAGCTAGGTTACGGTGACATGCGGCCATGGGATCAAAAATACTGATGTCGAAAGCTCGCTGTCCTCGCGTCCAGAATCCTCGAGCACTGACGTCAACATGAGCTTCGTTATGTGTTTGAAGTCCTATGTTGGAAGATCTCACCATCCAAAGGAAGGAGGTCGGTTCTACCATGACATCCCGGGAATTTCTTCAACATATTTGCTGTAGGTCCTTACTTCGTAAGCCTCATGCATATGAAGCCACCTTTCTTGCACACCATGGCGTGATCGCCGTCATAGGAAGAGCACACGCATTGGGAGGGCAAACCATCTACTAACCATGACCTTAGAGCAATGGCATCTGTAAATTCTTGTTTGTTAAGACTGAAACCATTGCCCTTATCGGTAACGTAGTTAACCAGTTCGAGGCGCCCCCTCCTGCGCTATAGCTACTACTACTACTACTATTTGTTCATTAGTCACTATCTCCTCCACCACCATCCCTCACGACCAGTACTACCACCACCTCATCCACCACCCACCACCTCATCACCACCACCCCACCACCTCATCACCACCACCCACCACCTCACTCACCACCACCCCACCACCTCATCACCACCGTCCCACCACCTCATCACCACCACCCTACCTCCATCACACCTCATCACCACCACCACCACCACCACCTCATCCCACCACCCACCACCTCATCACCACCGCCCACCACCTCTCACCACCACCCACCACCTCATCACCACCCACCACCCTCATCACCACCACCACCACCACCTCATCACCACCACCCACCACCTCATCACCACCACCCCACCCCCTCATCACCACCACCCCACCCCACCACTTCATCACCACCACCCCACCACCACCGCCCCACCCTCATCACCATCACCCCACCACCTCATCACCACCACCCCACCACCTCATCACCACCTCATCACCACCACCACCTCATCACCACCACCCCACCACCTCATCACCACCACCTCACCACCTCATCACCACACCCCACCACCACCCCACCACCCTCATCACCACCACCCCCACCACCTCCACCACCACCACCACCCACCACCTCACCACCACCACCACCCACCACCTCATCACCCCACCCACCACCTCATCACCACCGCCCCACCACCTCATCACCACGCCCCACCACCCCACCACCGTAATCTCACTTAACCCACACTATATAACCCTTACAAACTAACTCTTCACTAAAGAACAAAACATATATAAAATAAAACAAACAAACAAACAAACCACAACTTCCAATAATTACTAAAATAATTACCATAAAATTATACCCAATTATACACCTGAATAATACACAAACCTTCTCAATCTGTTACGTAATAAGGTAAAAAATAATTCTTCTCAGGTAAACAAAAAAAACATCTAATTGAAACTATTAATAATCATCGAGAACTTGCAGGTAGGGGCAGGTAATTAAGGTGTGGATAATGAGGTGATAAGAGGGTCAATAGATCAGGTCAATTCTCTCAGGTGTGCAAAAATCTGGTAATTAGGTAGAAAGTTTAGCCCAGGTGTGTGTGTGTGTGGTGAAAGTCGTATCGGTACAGTGACGACCCCTGTTCTATCTTATCTATGCCACCAGACGACTACCTATATTGAGAGAGAGAGAGAGAGAGAGAGAGAGAGAGAGAGAGAGAGAGAGAGAGAGAGAGAGAGAGAGAGAGAGAGACTCGCCTCACACCACACCACTTAAGACCTAACCATAACTAAACACTAACCAAAAATAACTAACTAAAAAAAATAAAAATAAGATAAAACCAAATAAATGTAATTAATAATAATAATAATGACATAGAAGTAATAAAGAGAACTAATAATATACAAACAGTACTGAGCTATGACTTGGATAGACTAATAATGTGTCAAAAGTGGGTGTGTGTGTGTGTGTGTGTGTGGGCGTGTGTGGGTGTGTGTGTGTGTGTGAGTTAAGTTGGCAAGGTGTTGATCTTTACTTCCACAAGCTACATTTTAAGACATCATTTTCCACACGCACGCACACACACACACACACACACACACACACCAAACTTGTGATTCATATTCAACACGTGTTTTAACCTCCTCTCCCCCACACACACACACAACCTTCATTTGCATATCTAAAGATTTTCAGGCAAAAAATTAATTGGCTGCAACTCCATATTTTTCTGGTCATTTTTACTCACCTTACTAACATTAACTTCATTTTTAATTCACCTTAAACTACACAATGTATTTTTCTTCTCTTATACAGTGTTCTATATCGTTCCATTTACTTAAGTGCGAAATAAATGAGAATCGTTAAGCTAAATTAGGGGGTTATATTGTTAAGCTAATGTTGTTCCCTAGCGGTATACGGTATTTGCATTATAAAACCACGAGAATAATAGATTAAAAATGGTAATTATTTCAAAACAGTACAAAATTGACTTAAAAATGGTATTGAGATAATTTTTTATTTTTTTTATTTATACAGTTGCTCATTTGACTTAAGTAAAGCCAACAAGACGGGGACCATAAACAACATTGTGAGGTATATAGTTCTCATGTTGACGTAATTCTCGTTCGTGAGGATTTTAAAATGCAGAATCGAGAAGAATTTTCTTTTGGTGTCATGTTATTTTTTTATCTCCGTGTATGTGTGTGAGAGAGAGAGAGAGAGAGAGAGAGAGAGAGAGAGAGAGAGAGAGAGAGAGAGACAGTATACCTTTCCGTGTCGCTTCTTCCTCTTCCTCCCACACATCCCCCCCTGTCAACTCTGTCCCTTTACTGTCACATTAACCACCTCCCCCAGCTCTTTCTCCCCGCCTCCTTATTCCTCCCCTACCCACCTATTCTCCACCCTCTCTCCCCATCTACCCCTTCCCTCCCCATCTTTTTTTCCCATCCGCACTTCCCTCTCTCCCCCACCCCTTCCTCTCTCCTCTTTCCCTACCACCCCTTTCTCCTTCTCTTCCACCTTTACCTTTTCTCCCCCACCTCCCCCCCACCCCTCTCTCCCCACCCCCTCCCCACCTCTCCCCCCACCTCCTCCACAGTTTTTTGGTCGTTTCCAGATGTCCTCCATCCACCCAAGACTCTAATGCTATTTTACTTTTCTTTCCTAATTCCTCCGCCATATTGTGTTCGACCCTTGCGTAACATAAGGACTACTCGGGGTTTTTCCTGTCTGTTCTGTCTGTGTCTGTCTGTTTTCTTCTCTATTAATTTATTTCTGTCTGTGTGTCTGTCTGTGAATCTATAAAACGTGTTAAAGATGGCCACTGTTTTGATAGACACATGTGTACGGGTCTGCTATAACACACACACACACCTGTACACACACCTGTAATAAGCTTCCTGGTGCTAATTAATCTCTCTATAATGTTTATGTTGACTCACCGTGTCACCCCCTCCCCCCCCAGACATACAAACACCATATGATCCCCAGGACTAAACACTTCACCGAGAGTCCTAGACGTATCCCGGCATTACGCGTCCTTCAGTCATTGAACTAGACAGATTTATTAAGCTTCAACTTTAATTTACTTACCTGCGACATCCACCTTTGTGTATGTGTGTGTGTGTGTGTGTGGGTGTGTGTGTGTGTGTGTGTGTGTGTGTGGGTGTGTTACTTTTTTGGTTTGTTTTTGTTTGTGGAGGAGGGGTAAGGGGTAAGGGAGGGGGTGGGGGTGCACTGTACCTTCAGGAGGTAATCTGTCAAGAGGAATTGCTGATTCTCTCCTACTCTTTCTCCTCCCTCCTGCTTCTCCCTGCAGTTCCCCCCCAGCACTCCACCCCCAGAGACCTCAGTTCCCCCAGAGAATCAGTTCCCCCAGAGAATCAGTTCCCCCAGAGACCTGCCCAGTCCCCAGAGACTCAGTTCCCCCAGAGACTCAGTTCCCCCCAGAGACTCAGTAAGGTAAGGTAAGGATGGAGAAAGGATATAACAAAACAGTCAGACAGTCAGACAGTCAGACAGTCAGACAGTCACACACACAGAAGAGAAGATGCAACTAATCTTTTCCAGTAGGTCGACTTCACCCTCATCCCTTCCCTTCCTCCCTCTTCCAACTTCCCTCCCCTCCAGCCTTCCTCTCACTCCCTCCACCCTCTGTCTCCCTCACCCCTCCACCCTCCCACCTACCAAGCAAACTACACAATATCACTTACAAAATGCTATGCCTCATTTCCCAGCCGCGGCGATGGGAATTAAAAGATAATTAAAAGAGATAAAATAAAATGATACAACCAAAAATAAGCAGAAAAAAGACGTAGAGGAATACATACACATTATTACACACATATTATCAATAACAATAATACTATAATCCTCAATATTCATTTTACCTGATATGACCAAACGGAGGCCCATTTTCCAATCTAATATTTTGGGTTCTCCGTTTCGTCCGATAATGACAACTTATAGAAATACTCTCACTTCAATTAGGACAAACTTGAAGGCATGGACGACGAGGCTCCTTCATGATATTTTTCTTGATTTTAATGGTAAGAAGGAATGATGATGTGTGCGTGTGTGTTTATGTGTGTGTGTGTGTGTGTGTGTGTGTGTGTGTGTGTGTGTGTGTGTGTGTGTGTGTGTTTTCTATGTGTGTGTGTGTGTGTGTGTGTGTGTGTGTGTGTGTGTGTGTGTGTGTGTGTGTGTGTGTATGTGTGTGTGTGTGTGTAATTGTCCTGTATCAACAAGTATAACAACATCCCACATCTCTTAAGAACCACAACATAACCCGATATTAATAACATTCAACTACAACACAAACCTTACATATTCCATTTTCTCCTTCGTTGAGTCATCCCAATGTACCTACTTCCTGATCTGACGGAGGGATGTTTTTATCGAGTGAGGGATAAGAGATAGCCAGAGAAGATTAACCACCCTAGCTTATCCTACCTGAAGATTAAACACCCTAGCTTATCCTACCTGAAGATTAAACACCCTAGCTTATCCTACCTGAAGATTAAACGCCCTAGCTTATCCTACCTGAAGATTAAACGCCCTAGCTTATCCTACCTGAAGATTAAACACCCTAGCTTATCCTACCTGAAGATTAAACACCCTAGCTTATCCTACCTGAAGATTAAAACACCCTAGCTTATCCTACCTGAAGATTAAACACCCTAGCTTATCCTACCTGAAGATTAATCACCCTAGCCATCCTTGCTGGCGAAGATTAAACACCTAGCTTATCCTACCTGAAGATTAAAACACCAGCTTATCCTACCTGGAAGATTAAACACCCTAGCTTATCCTGTACCTGAAGATTAACCAATTCAGCTTATCCCACCTGAAGATTAACCAATTTAGCTTATCCTACCTGAAGATTAAACACCCTAGCTTATCCTACCTGAAGATTAAACACCCTAGCTTATCCTACCTGAAGATTAAACGCCCTAGCTTATCCTACCTGAAGATTAACCACCCTAGCTTATCCTACCTGAAGATTAAACACCCTAGCTTATCCTACCTGAAGATTAAACGCCCTAGCTTATCCTACCTGAAGATTAAACACCCTAGCTTATCCTACCTGAAGATTAAACACCCTAGCTTATCCTACCTGAAGATTAAACGCCCTAGCTTATCCTACCTGAAGATTAAACGCCCTAGCTTATCCTACCTGAAGATTAACCACCCTAGCTTATCCTACCTGAAGATTAAACACCCTAGCTTATCCTACCTGAAGATTAACCACCCTATCTTATCCTACCTGAAGATTAAACACCCTAGCTTATCCTACCTGAAGATTAAACACCCTAGCTTATCCTACCTGAAGATTAAACACCCTAGCTTATCCTACCTGAAGATTAAACGCCCTAGCTTATCCTACCTGAAGATTAAACACCCTAGCTTATCCTACCTGAAGATTAAACACCCTAGCTTATCCTACCTGAAGATTAAACGCCCTAGCTTATCCTACCTGAAGATTAAACGCCCTAGCTTATCCTACCTGAAGATTAACCACCCTAGCTTATCCTACCTGAAGATTAAACACCCTAGCTTATCCTACCTGAAGATTAACCACCCTATCTTATCCTACCTGAAGATTAAACACCCTAGCTTATCCTACCTGAAGATTAAACACCCTAGCTTATCTACCTGAAGATTAAACACCCTAGCTTATCCCACCCAAGACAACCAATTTAGCTTATCCATCTGGAAGATTAACCACCCTAGCTTATCCCCACATGAAACAATTCCCAGCTTATCCTGTACCTGAAGATTAAACACCCTAGTTTATCCTACCTGGAAGATTAAAACACCTAGCTTATCCTACCCGAAGATTAACCAATTCCAGCCATCTTACCTGGAAGATTAAACACCCTAGCTTATCCCCTACCTGAAGATTGGGAAACACCCTAGCTTATCCCCACCTGAAGATTAAACACCCTAATGCATCCTACCTAGCATTAAACACCTAGCTTTATCCTACCTGAAGATTAAACACCCTAGCTTATCTCACCAAACATTAATTCACCCCAATATCCTTTCGCCTGAAGATTAAACACCCTAGCTTATCCTACCTGGAAGATTAAACACCTATTGTATCCTACCTGAAGATTAAACACCCCAGCTTATCCTACCTGAAGATTAAACACCCTAGCTTATCCTACCTGAAGATTAAACACCCTAGCTTATCCTACCTGAAGATTAAACGCCCTAGCTTATCCTACCTGAAGATTAACCACCCTAGCTTATCCTACCTGAAGATTAAACACCCTAGCTTATCCTACCTGAAGATTAACCACCCTATCTTATCCTACCTGAAGATTAAACACCCTAGCTTATCCTGTACTCCAGCAAAGATTAACCCAATCCCAATCAACCTAACCTAACCTAAACCTAACAACCAAACCTAACCTAACCTAACCTGGAGGTGGATCTCTAGGTGATTCCCTGAACTGCATTAAGCTGGGGAGAGGGAGGGAAGCAGAGGGGGGGAGAGGAGGGAAGTGAGGGGAGAGGAGGGGAGGAAGGGGGGACAAGAGGGGGAAGGAAGGAGGAGAGACGGTGAGAGGAGGAGGAGGGAAGGAGTGATATTAATTGGGTAGACTCCTAAGAGGAACTAACTACTGACTGTTTCTGGTGGCTGGTTACTGGTGTGTTAATACTGCCAGCTCTACTGTGGGAGGGGGGAGGAAGGGGGAGGGGACAGAGGGGGATGGGGATGGAGGGGAGGATGCCAAGGGGAGGGAGATGGCGGGGAGGGGGATGGGCAGGGGAGGGTAGTGCTGCCAGACGTGGTTTGAAGGTGGACATGTTTAAAAGTAAAGCACTAAACCCTTGAGTACGGGGGCTTAATCTCCTGAGTACAATGACTTTATCCTTTGAGTACGATAACTTAAACCTCTCGAGTATAATGACTTAATAGGGTCAACAAATACAAGTGATCTGAGCCCATCACCCACCACCTTGGTAAATACAGTAACGCCCCATCGAGTGTTCTATACAGAGAGCAATCCAAAACTCCCCCAGAAATATAAAGGTATTATATTCTGTCTCGTAAAGCAAAATATTGAATGTTTGTGTTGGATTTTATTTAATGGAAGCAAAATACCGGAACGTGGTGCCATATAATGAACTATAGATGCCATATAATCAACTATAGACGACATACATAAACTATAGACGCCATATTGTTAACTATAGATGCCATATATCAACTATAGACGCCATATTGTTAACTATAGATGCCATATATCAACTATAGACGCCATATTGTTAACTATAGATGCCATATAATCAACTATAGACGCCATACATAAATTATAGACGCCATATTCTGTATAAATCACAGTCTTTTCCCACTGGGTGTAACATTTCCCTGGGAATGAACATTTTATCCATTTTGTTGACATAGCATTTTCAGAGCAGTAAACATTTTTCCAGCAGGGGGCATTTTTCTAAGAGTGAGTGTTGGTCAGATCCCCAGACAAGCAGCGGATGACACGCCTCCTGCCTGACACACACGCCCCTACCTCTCCCCCCCCCCTCAACATAAACACACAAACACCTACACCTCGACACACACACACACACACGGGGCCCAAAGCCTTGTTTACTGTACCTAGAGCCCATCACCCATTTTCTAACAACACCCTCATAGTCCCCCCTCCCCTCTCCCATACCTAAGATAACATATCCTATAGAAAACGAGATGTAACGTTATCTTCACTACGACCCCACACATTACTCTTTTAAATAATTACAATACTACTTAATTTATGAAGACTTAATACTGTCATAGATCAAGTGATAAATGGGGTTTGTTTTCATTAGTAGGCTTTGTTTGGGGGGTTCCTCAGGGCACACTACTGACTCCTACACTATTCTTAATATATTACTCCATACAGATTAACACACACACACACACACACACACACACACACACACACACACACACACACACATCACGAGGGTAAAAATGGTGGACAAAATTGCACTGCTAATATCTCAACTCAATCAATTCTTCCACTGTTTAGCCACGACAAGAAATAAATATGGTTGAGGGTAATCTTTGAATATAATCTGCCTTCGTCATATACCCTCCCCGGAAAACAAAATAGGAAAACAAAATATGAAAATAAAAACACGACTATTTTTTTCCTTCCTTAGCACGGCAATGAGTAAGAAAATCTCCTCAAATCAAACAAGTACTAATTTTATTTTCCTTGGCACGGCAGAGGGCAAAGTAGGAAAATATATTAAGATCCAAACAAAACTATTTATCACTTTCTTGGATTTTCCTATTAAAAAATCTATATTCACCAAGGAGATTATCACCAGGAATTTCTTATTAATCTCCCTAAGGTAATATAACTCCAAACAAAACTATTAATTTTTTCTGTTTTTTTCCTAGGAATTTACACTTCAACGATCTACTTTTCCAGGAAGATACTTTTATT